AGCCGAGATCTCGCCACTGCACTCCAGCCTGGGCGACAGAGCAAGACTCTGTCTCAAAAAAAAAAAAAAAAAAAAAAAAAAAAAAAAAAAAAAAAAAAATAAAAAAAAAAAAAAAAAAAAAAAAAAAAAAAAAAAATGCTGACAGCTTTCTTTTTGTGTTTATAGCAAAATCTGCTTTGGGAAGATGATGAAAAAAAAAAAAAAGGCAGAACTGTTGACCTATTTTGCTATTCTGCTAACAACTATCATTAAAGAACAGTCAAAACTCAAGTTAGGTGACAAGAGCATAAGAATTTAGATTTAAATCTTCTAGTCTAGAATTATATCCCATGTACTAACTCAAACACACAGCTACGATTTCAGAATTAGGCAGTAATCTCTAAAAAGTAGCAGGGAAGTACCTTAAAACTGTGAGGATTAATCCTATGCAGGTTTTCACCAAAAAAAAAAAAAAAAAAAGGAAAAATTCCCAAATCTCAGATTGAAAAGCTCACTGTCAGTCTCTGAAATTTTTTTTTTAAAAAAAGTTATTAGAATCTATGATCCCTTTAAAAACCAAGTCTTAAGCCAGGTGCGGTAGCTCACGCCTGTAATCCCAGTACTTTGGGAGGCTGAGACGGGAGGATCACTTGAATCTAGAAGTTCAAGACCACCCTGGGCAACACAGTGAGATCCCATCTCTAAAAAATAAATAAATAAATAACCAAATCTTTCCCACAGGAAATGACGGCAGTTCCGTAAGAAGAAACTCCAAGCCTGTGGATGAAACAAAAAAAGGCACACTAACCTCATTTCTTTTTTGATAGGATTACCAGGTCAAGAAATTCAGAGAATACATAGATGGGGCTCTATTTCAAGTTCATTAAGGCATGTAATCCAGTCCCTCATGACAGTAAAATGAACCGTGGGCCTTATGGTAATAGAGTAAGACTTATGATACTGGAAGACATTGCCCACCATTCAACCACTGGATGAAGAAACAGAAGCCATGTGTACACAATGGAGAGCAAGAAGCTGAGGAGTAGAGCTAGGAGCTGAAAGGTGGAGTTACGATGAAAATTCACTCAACAAACTGAAAGCAGAGGTTTGAAATCCACAGGACGTAATTTAATAGGAATACATTTAAAAGTAATTTTTTTTTAAAGTGCCTCAAGTACATGATGAGAGAGCCTGCTCTGATGGGCACCATTCCTGGGGAAAAGACCTAAGTGCTCTGGCTGCATACAGGGTGACTGCAACACTGAAATGGCGGAGGCAGAGACAACGGTGAGTGACAGTCCTGCCATTCTCTCTGTGAATCCAACCATAACTGGAACGTGTATCTCGCCTCAGGAAGAACAACAGAAACTGCAAAGTGTTTAGAAAAGGCAGACCAGAAAGTCACGACACACGAAGCAAAGCTGAGCGAATGGGCAACAAGCCTGTGCCTCCACCACCCGAAGGACTACTGGATGAAAGGACTTCACAGTCACACAGCAACTAACAGACAGAAATTACTAGAAGGCAATGCTCAACACAAGTAAGTATCCAAAAATAAAGTTGTCTGCTTCATAAATAGTTCTCACGCCATCACTTAAGAAACATTCAGGCAGCGGCCAAAAGACCATTAGGAAGTTTGCTAACAGGCCTGCAGGGCTGGGCAGAAGATTAACCTAGATGACCTCCAAGGTCTCTTCCACCCATGAAAGCTTGAATCTTGGGCATAAAGAGACCAAAGCTGTTTGACACTGAATCATTCAAACATAGCAAGTCGTTCTTGATGCAGAAAAGTCTAGTGTACCACATCCCAAACTGTATGAATGCTGGCAGAGCAGTTAGGAACACAGGTTTCAGTCCGATCAGCCTTTGAACCTCAGCCTTGCTACTTACTTAGCTGTGGGACCACAAGCAAGTTTCCCAACCTCTTAGCACCTTACTTTTCTCCTCGGTGAAACGGAAATAATAAACACCTTCTCCTCATAGGGCTGTTGAAAGGGTAAGTTAATCACGTAGCAGAGTGACTGGCACATAGTAAGCACTTAACAAATGTTCTCTTTTATTATTGTTGTGGGTATTAATAACAAGTAACTTGAACTTGACAACTAGTGTGGATGCAGGAGTCAACATACTTATTCCAATTTCCTCACTCTCCCAAGAAGCTAGGTCACTTCAGTGATGGCTGGGAAGATGGAGAACACCAGATGATGAGAACTAACATTAGCTGGGCACCTGCTGTGTGCCAAGCGCCACTCTATGAACTGGAACATTTTGTTACAGTCCCCAGCAGCCCTATAAGAATTCCTCTCATTGGCTGGGCGTGGTGGCTCACGCCTGTACTCCCAGCACTTTGGGAGGCTGGGGCGGGTGGATCACGAGGTCAGGAGTTCAAGACCTGCCTGGTCAACGTGGTGAAACCCCGTCTCTACTAAAAATATAAAAATTGGCTGGCCGTGGTGGCAGGCGCCTGTAATCCCAGCTACTGAGGAAGCTGAGGCAGGAGAATCATTTGAACCCAGGAGGTGGAGGTTGCAGTGAGCGAGATTACACCACTGCACTCCAGCCTGGGCGACAGAGCGAGACTCCTTCTCAAACAAACAAACAAAAAAACAACTACCCGAGAAGATATAAAAAGAATAACTATTGGCTGGGTGCGATGGCTCACACCTGTAATCCCAGCACGTTGGGAGGCCAGGGTGAGTGGATCACAAGGTCAGGAGTTCAAGATCAGCCTGGCCAAGATGGTGAAACCCCGTCTCTACTAAAACTACAAAAATTAGCTGGGCACAGTGGTAGGTGCCTGTAATCCTAGCTACTCAGGAGGCTGAAATAGGAGAATTGCTTGAACCTGGGTGGCAGAGGTTGCAGTGAGCCGAGATCGCACCATCGCACTCCAGCCTGGGCGACAGAAAGAGAGGGGAAAAAAAAAAGGCTGGGCGCAGTGGCTTACACCTGTAATCCCAACACTTTGGGAGGCCGAGGTGGGTGGATCATGAGGTCAGGAGATTGAGACCATCCTGGATAACACGGTGAAACCCTGTCTCTACTAAAAAATGCAAAAAATTAGCTGGTGTGGTGGCGGGCGCCTGTAGTCCCAGCTACTCGTGAGGCTGGGGCAGGAGAATGGCTTGAACCCAGGAGGCGGAGCTTGCAGTGAGCCGAGATCTCGCCACTGCACTCCAGCCTGGGCGACAGAGCAAGACTCTGTCTCAAAAAAAAAAAAAAAAGAAAAGAAAAGCAAAGAAAACCAGTAACTCTCCCTGGGACCTATCCAACCCCAACTAATGTAAAGTGGTCTGAGATGGGCAGCAGGGTTCCCCAGGGCTCAGGAACACTATCCTAGGCCCTGCTGCCTCCTGGACAAAGAATCGATTGAAATAAGCAAGCTTCCCCAGCTGACATCCACGGCCGGCCTTACTGCCTGTTTTAGGAGTATCTTTAGAACCGTGAGATTGAGTTGTATTTAAAAAAAATTTTTTTATATTAAAAGTTAACCCCAAAAGTGATCCTATTAAGGTAAGTATCGTATTTCCATTTCACAGACAAGGAGACTGAAACTAACAAGGCTCAAGAACTTGTCCTCAGTCACAAAGGAACTGACACTTGATTCCAGGAGGCTTTTGCACCCTAAAGAGCTCCAACAAAAGTGAGAAAGCATTTCAAGTGGGTGAGCAGAGATGCTCCATGGGGGAAGTGACACCTGAGCACAGATAAGGCACGGGACAAGGAAGGGCAAACGTGCAGAGTGAAAGGCATGAGCCATATCAGACGCAAGGCGCCCCAAGGAATGCTCTCAGGACCAGAAGTCGACAGGTGTGATAAAGCTATGGTGCCCTCGAGGTAGAGTTGTCAGAGAGACTCACGGGGACGCTCGCGCCTGGATGTACAGGCACATGAATGTCAAGCCTCACCGCTGTCCCTGGCCTCCACAGGACTTCTCCTCAAACAGAAACCCCCGCCCACGAGGGAAGCAAGGTCGTGTTTCTGACTTGAACTGGTCATCCAGGATAAAGAGTGAAGCAGCTTCCACAGTTCAGCTCTGCACCCACACTGCTGCGCCCATTAGGACGGACTGAGGAGGGACACAAATTCAGTCGACAGCACCATATCCTACATTACACAGCAACAGAGCAATGGAGTTAAAAGCAAGGCTTTAGAGTCAAAGAAACCGGGTGTGAATCCTGACTCCACCTTTACTAGCTACATGACCCTGGGCAATTTATTAAACTTCTTTGAGGCTGCTTCCTCCTTTATAAAATAGGGATAAAAATATATTCCTCATAGAGTTGTTGTGAGCAACAAAAAAGAAAGAAATAGGTAATGTGCTTAACAGAGTCTGGTAAAAAAGCAAGTTTACAACAAATAGCAGCTATGCTTTCATTCATTCAATGTATTTACAGAGCTTTTGCTTTTATCAACCAAACAAGGCTAGAGAAGCTCATACAATACAGCATAGGCCTTTAACATGCCTTCAGAAGGCTGCCTACCAAACCCTTTATGAAAGCCCAAATTTGCAAATGCCACACAGGGAACACTTCTGCATTCATGGATTTATATTAGAGTAGAATAATAAATAAGAACATAGACTCACTAAAAAAGTAGTAATTTTTCCTTTTATGTATAAATTGCTCTAGAAAACTGTGGCAGATTACTATATATGATAACTCGGGGTGAGTTCTAGGGAGCAAAATATCGCAACAAAACACACAGATCAGATCAAATCACAAGTCCAACGGTAAGGGCAGGCTTAAAACTCAGGGCAGGATTAGTTTAGCTTTCTCTGACAACAGGATGTTGTTGAGTGGTTTATATATATCAGATATTCAGACTATCAACAGATTCAGAATTTTTTTTTTTTAAGACAGTCTTGCTCTGTTGCCCAGGCTGGAGTGCAGTGGCGCAATCTCGGATCACTGCAACCTCCGGCTCCCGGGTTCAAGCAATTCTTGCGCCTCAGCCTCCCGAGTAGCTGGGATTACAAGCGCCTGCCACCACGCCCGGCTAATTTTTGTTTATTTTTAGTAGAGACGGGGCTTCACCATGTTGGCCAGGTTGGTTTCAAACTCTTGACCTCAAGAGATCCACCTGCCTTGGCCTCCCAAAGTGCTGGGATTACAGGCATGAGATACCACACCTGGCCAACAGATTCAGATTATCAATAAAAGTGTTAATGGCTTTTCCCCACCAATCTCAAAATTGCTCTAACTCCCCGAAAAGGAAGTCTCACTGTGATACACTTTCACTACATTTAAATGCAAACAAAAGTTAACACCTCGATGAAAAAAGCAGAAAATGAGTAAGGGTCCTTAGAAGCACAGGTCCAAATCTCAGCTCTGCCACTAACTGGTAACTATTTCTGGGCCCCCTCAGAAAAGACAATCTCTTTATTCTCCAGCTCTAACATCTGAGTCAGCTGACAGCATCTGAACTTTAAACAGGTGACCTCAGAAATGAAGACTTCACAGGTCCCTTCTCACAGGAGTGTTTGGATAGGGAGTGGACATGCAAGGCAAGGCAGAAGCATGAGGCTATGGTAGGGAAAAGTCGCTCTCTGGGGATATGTGGACAAATTTCCCCGAAAACACCCCATACCTTTCTTCATCATGTCTCGGTCCAAGGCTACATTTCTTTGGGCAAGATTTACTTCTGATCGAAAATGGAAGCGCTTGGCTCGCTGCTCTTTCTTTTCAATTGCTTCCTAGAAAGTACAGAAAAAGTGAAAGTAGTAAAACATGGAGAAGGCAAATTAAATCACGAATGCATCATGATGCGTCAGTGACAAACCTGAAATAAACAAGAAGAAATAAGCAACACTACACCTTGAAAAACTGTTGCAGAGACCTGGACAGTCACACTCAATGCCTGGGAGGGAGTATGTTAATATTGCTGCAATTTGCAAGCATCTCCAACCTAACACAGCCTGTCACTGTGCCTGGGACGTAGTAAGAACTCAATAAGCATTTGCTGAGTGAATGAACAATCCTTTACAGTTTATGAAGCTATATGACACTTCATTTGTTATTATCGATGATGCTAACAAATTACAACTAAACAATTTCAACATCCCCATTTTCCAGGGGCAGAAATGGAGGCACAAAAAACCAAAAGGTTTGCTGGAGATACTTCAGCTAGTAAGCGAGTAGATCTGATTCCAGTGCTATTTCTAGGAGCCCACCTACAACCATTTCACATTGTCTGCGGGCAACGGCAGTCACACCTGTCATGCTCTTCCACATCGTATCTGCCTGAGCAGTCCACTCCCTAAAGCTAGTCTGTTCAAAAACAACACGGAAGCAAAGAAACTCTCTCCCCTTCCAGCCTTGTGGCCATGGAATCACCAGTTTTCATCTTTAAGTGGTAAGAACCATTGACACTTCACTGAAAAAATAATCAGCTTTGTAAGTTTCTTCTAAGAGTTAAAATAAACCCAGGTCCAAAGGTGGGTTTCTGATGGCTCTTAGGAACCCTTCACTAACTGGTTTTGTTTGTTTGTTTTTTGTTTTTGAGACGGAGTCTCACTCTGTCGCCAGGCTAGAGTGTAGTGGCGCAATCTTGGCTCACTGCAACCTCCAACTCCCGGGTTCAAGAGATTCTCCTGCCTCAGCCTCCTGAGTAGCTGTGACTACAGGAGCCCGCCACCATACCCAGCTAATTTTTGTATTTTTAGTAGAGACAGGGTTTCGCCATGTTGGCCAGGATAGTCTCCATCTCTTGACCTCATGATCTGCCTGCCTCAGCCTCCCAAAGTGTTGGGATAACAGATGTGAGCCATGGTGCCCAGGCCCCTTCATTAATTGTATATTGACTTTACCACACTATTTGAAGGTCTGACTATACAGAGCTTGTGGGGATTGGTAAAATTGTAACACTTCCGTTATTTCCCAATAGCTATGCTCATTTTCTTCACTGAAGTCTTCCTAGTACAAACAACAATTTACTTCCTTTAGAAACAAAGTACTAACTCTGAGACTACCACCCTTTTCCCATATACCTGTTTCATATAATGGCAAACGGTGTAAGATTAAGAATAGTTTACTTTTTAAATTACAGTAAGAAAATATTTTCACTTTATTCTCTTTTCTTGTCTAAAAGATGACCAATTCTCTTTCTTGTTTTTTGTTTTGTTTTGGTTTTGGCCTTTAAGTAATCGGAAACACACAGAGACACAGATAAACCATAAAAACGTTAGCTGGGCATGATGGCATCCACCTGTACTCCCAACTACCTGGGAGGCTGAGGCAGAAGGATCAATTGAATCCAGGAGGCAGAGGTTGCAGTAAGCCGAGATCGCACCCCTGAACTCCAGCCTGGGGGACAGAGTGAGACTCTGCCTCAAAACAAAAACAAAAACAAAAACAAACAACAAAAAAAAACAAAAAAAGCATTATAAAAAGGTAGGCATGAAATATATTTTTATTTTTGCTTTTATGTATTCAATACAGCAATATATATTATTATTCAGAAATGTAATACAAAATTCTGTTCCAAACTTAACGTTACACATTAAAATCAGAAAAAAGGTCTAAAATGGAACATCACTGATTAAAGCAACTTACATGTATTGACTATATATAAGGAAAATAATAGACTTGACTCTATGAGATGTTACAATGAAGGTGGTAATCTGGTAATAGCAATCATTAGATACAAGGCAATAGTTTTAAGTACTGAGAATAATTCACTTGACTTGGGCTTCAGACGTTAGACAGCCAGGCAATCAGGAAGTCCTCTTTTTCTGGGTCTACAGCTAATGAGGAATAAAGATTGTTAAGGGCCTACTATGCTGGACGTGGTGGCTCACGCCTGGAATCCCAGCACTTCAGGAGGCTGAGGCAGGTGGATCACCTGAGGTCAGGAATTCGAGACCAGCCTGACCAATATAGTGAAACCCCATCTCTACTAAAATTACAAAAATTAGCCAGGCATGGTGGTGTGCTCCTGTAGTCCCAGCGACTCAGGAGGCTGAGGCAGGAGAATCGCTGGAACCCAGGAGGGGGAGGTTGCACTAAGCCTAGATCGTACCACTGTACTCCAGCCTGGGCAACAGAGCGAGACTCCATCTGAAAAAAAAAGAAAAAGAAAAAAGGGGGGGTGCCTACTATGTGCCAGGCACTTTTCATATTTTGTTTCATTTCAAGTGGAAACAGTACATATTTTTTTTTAGAAATGGACATACCATTTAAAAAAGCATTCCCAATCCTGGACATTTTCTTAGAAATGGTTCAACACAGTTATCTAGGTAGAGTGATTTTATCTTTTCATGGCTATAAGAACACACAAATGCTGCCTGCACCGTTTCAGGATGCATGAAGACATCGTTGTATAACACAAAAATTTTTTTTGTTGTCCATGCTGGAATGCAGTCGCATGATTTCAGCTCACTGCAGCCTCAACCTGGCAGGCTCAAGTGATCCTCCCACCTCAGCCTCCCGAGTAGCTGGGACTACAGACCTGCACTACCACACCCAGCTAATTTCTGTATCTTTTGTAGAGACGGGTCTCACTATGTTGCCCAGGCTGGTCTCGAACTCCTGGTCTTAAATGACCTACTTGCTGGGCCTCTCAAAGTGCTAGGATTACAGGCATGAGCCAGTGTGCCTGGCCAATAACACCATTTTTTTTTAGAAAGAAAATTTAAATCCAGCAACAAAAGAAAAGAGGAAATATTTACTGTTAAGTCCTAGAGATCAAGTTCATTAAGTTCACTTGCTTATCAAGCAAATAAATAAATCATAGCCTGTCTTACCTTGGAGGTGACATCAATTCCAGTGATGAAGCTGCCAGCCTTGTTTTCGTATCTTCTGCTCGTGTCCTAACACAAAGGGGAAGGGTGAGAAATTCAGACAGCAATTGAAGAAAAACTTATGATAAAAGTCGGGCTGACAGCTGGTTCTTCTTTCTTATTTTTTTTTCATTTTTATTTTTTTGTGACAGTGTCTTGCTCTGTTGACCAGGCTGGAGTGCAGTAGAATGATCACAGCTCACTGCAGCAACTCCCCAGGCTCAAGCCATCCTCCCACCTCAGCTTCCCCAGTAGCTGGGCCCTCAGGTATACGCCACCACACCCAGCTCATTTTTTTTTTTTATTTTTGTAGAGACAGGGTCTCCCTATGTTGCCCAGGCTGGTCTCCAACTCCTGGGCTAAAGTAGTCCCCCTGCCTCAATCTCCCAAAGTGTTAGGATTACATGCATGAGCCACCACACAGAGTCTGGTTCTTTTTGTTTATCTGTTTGTGTTTTGAGATGGAGTCTTGCTCTATCACCCAGGCTGGAGTGCAGTGGTGCAAACTCGGCTCACTGCAACCGCTACCTCCCGGGTTCAAGCGATTCTCCTGTCTCAGCCTCCTGAGTAGCTGGGATTACAGGCATGTGCCACCATGGCCAGCTAATTTTTGTATTTTTAGTAGAGACGAGGTTTCACCATGTTGGCCGGCTGGTCTCAAACTCCTGACCTCAGGTGATCCGTCTGTCTCAGCCTGCCAAAGTGCTGGGATTACAGGCATGAGCCACCGCACCTGGCCAGTCTGGTTCTTTTTGAAGAGTCATTCTTTTCAAAATCCTTCCCCACCCCTGACAACCTTTTATTAAGAAGCCCCATCCCAGTGATTCCATGGTATCAATCAAGCACTCCAATAAGAAGAGCAGAGCCTGTCCAAAACCTGAAGTGATTCCATCAACTGAAAGTATCCATGTAAAGAAAAATCTAAAGGCTTTTGTGGAAAATGTCAAAAGATGAAGCACAGTCACTTAGCTCCCCAACCCAGTCTGAACGAATTCCCCATGCCCAGCCACCAGGTGGAGCCCAACCCTCCACCTCAATGCAGAAGGTCCAGCCTCACCTAGAATTCCTGAGGCAAATACAGCACAGTGCAATGCAAAGGGGATGGGATTTGGAAACCAAGCGAGGACGGAAGCCTCAGCTCTGACGGTCACTAATTACAGGACACTGTATAGTTTCCTTGACCTCTCTGGGTCCCAGTTTCCTGCGTGGTATCTACCTGCCTTCCTGACCTCTTTTACTGCCCTTCCATTAGTGCTACAGAACTTTGCAACGATCCTGGACCCACCCCAGACCCTCTGTGCTTGCTATTGCCCCTGCTTGGGGAACCCCTTTTCAGTCTTCACAAGGTTGGCTCCTTTTTGTCATTGAGAGTTTATATGGAGCATACACTCCAGCAGGGAGGTTGATCTTGATCAAGCACCTAGGGCTGTGTCTTGGTACATAGTGGGGGATGCAATAAATACATGTTGGCCAGGCACGATGGCTCATGCCTGTAATCCCAGCACTCTGGGAGGCAGAGGCGGGAGGATCACCTGAGGTCAGGAGTTCGAGACCAGCCCGGCCAATATGGAGAAATCCTGTCTCTACTAAAAATACAAGATTAGCCGGACATGGTGGCACACCCCCGTAATTTCAGCTACTTGGGAGGCTGAGGCAGGAGAATCACTTGAACCCAGGAGGTGGAGGTTGTGGTAAACCGAGATCGCACCATTGGGCTCAGCTACTCAGGAGGCTGAGGCAGGAGAATCGCTTGAACCCGGGAGGCAGAGGTTGTGGTGAGCTGAGATTGTGCCATTGCGCTCCAGCCTGGGTAACAAGAGCGAAACTCCGTCTCAAAACAAAACAAAAACCATGTTGAACTGAATGACTGAAAGGATGATAACACCTACTTCACAACTGCGGTGATACTTATTTTGGTTTTGTTTTGTTTTTGAGATGGGGAGAGGCGAAAGGAGGGACCTCGAAGGGGTGTTGCTATATTACTGAGGCTGGTCTGGAACTTAGATTCCTGAACAGCTGGCACTAAAGGTGTGCATGGCCAGTATATTTAAGTGACACAATGTAGTGAATGGTAAATGCTAATATATTAGCTGTTGTTAATCATAATCAATAACGTTTGCCATCTCTAGCGATCATACCTTAACCTTTCTCCATAACTTCAGTCTAAATATGTTGACATGTGGTGAAAAGTAGTTCATATTAAGTTAGAAATTAAGAGGAGTCATCCAGGCCTCAAATCAGCTCTAAGAACTGGATCTACAGCCACCAAGTCACAAGCAAAACACCTCACCATCCCCAGCGCGGTAAATGAGGGATCAAGGGCGTCTATTGATCGTTTGCTAGTTTACTTTCATTAAGAGTGAGATGCTGGGGCCACTCGGTGTTAGTGCCAGGTGGAGCTTGCGCGCGGTGGGGTGGGGGGGGGGGGGCGGGTTGGCGGCAAGATGACCCGCTGAAGCACGACCAGGAAACAGTGAGTTTCTGCTGCTGACAAGTGCACGCCGCCTCCCAAAGAAAGAGCGAGTGCCATTGTTTCACTGATACAAATTCCTCCGGGCAAGACCCACGGGAGAGACCCGGTTTGCTGCGCCACCCAACAGCTCCTTCTGGGCTGCTCCCGGTTCTGTTCCCGCCCAGGGCTCCCCCTTTATCTCAGCCCTCCAGACACTCCTCACTCACCCCTTTGCACAGCACGGCTCAGAGGGGGCAGCGGAGGGGGGTCCTCAACTCTCTCCCAGCTCTCCGCCACCCCCTCCAGCCCCCTCAACACCCATTTCCGGCGCACCGGCGTCCTTTCTCCCGCTCCGCGTCCCTCCTCCAGCCCGGCGCCCCCGTCCCCAGGACGCTGGCTCCCTTCTCTCCCGCTCCCCAGACTTCCCCGGCTGGGGCTCCAGCCACCGCCCCTTCCGGCCCCCTCCGGCGCTGGGCACTAGCCCCGCGACCTCCTCCTTGCCCCCCGACCCCCACCCGTACCGGGATCAGTTCCTTGAGCGAGCGCCGCACGGGCACGATTTCCAGCTCGCCCTCCTCCACCTCCATGGGCTCCGGCTCGCCACGGTCAACACCCGACTCCGCCTCAGGGGACGGGAGCCCCAGGTCTGGCCCCGCCGGGGCCTCCGCCTTCACCGACACCCGCAGGCCCCGTACGGCCGCCATAGCTGCCTGCCGGCCGCACCACCGAGAGCCCGCCCCTTACGGCCGCCGGCTAGAGCGCCGCAGCCACTGGCAACAGAGGAGCCGCCGCAGCTACCTAGAGCGTCGCCGGCTTCGGCCAGAAGGCCGCCCTCAGCGCCGCCGCCCCCTGGTGGCGGGAGGAACCCGGGCGGGCTGCGCGGGCGGGACCTGGGGAGGAGAAGGCGGGACTGAGCGGGGACGGGGGCGGGGCCTGCGGGAGCGACGGAGCTTGGAGGAGACCGGGGTAGTCAAGGGTTACAATGTAGCTACGCCTTGAGGCTAAACCTGTACTAAAAGCCAACTTTACTGAGCGATCACCATGGGCCAGACACTTCCAAGCGCTCGAACCCTTAGAACAACTCTATGAAGTAGATCCCATTATGACCCCCATTTCATATATGAGGAAACTGAGGTATAGAAATTGATCCGAGGTGACGCCATTTAAGGGATAAAAGCTGGATCTAAGTCTTCCAGAGTTTACGATGAGCCTTGATATATCACCTCTGGGCAATCTGTAGGTTTATAAAGTTACTTGCCTTGCCTGCCTTTGTCCCTTAAAAGTCTCCCCAAAATTGGCCCATGTTACATACACAAAATTTGAGACCTGCCCAAAGGCCAGAACTTGGACACTGATTTCCTGACTCCTGAGGGTGCCATCCACTGTAGACCTGTGAGCGTAGTTTCCTGCGGATACTTCTAGCCTAGTGGGGGAGAGGGGTTGTCTAGGCATCCCGAGGGTGTCACTGATCAGCTGTTAGGTTCTGAGTCCTGATTTTCTTTCTTTCTTTCTTTCTCTTTCTTTCTTTCTTTCTTTCTTTCTTTCTTTCTTTCTTTCTTTCTTTCTTTCTTTCTTTCTTTCTTTCCTTTCTTCCTTTCTTCCTTTCTTTTTTCTTCCTTCCTTCCTTTCTTCTCTTTCTTTTCTTCATTTCTCTTTTTCTTCCTTTCTCTCTTTTCTTTCTTTTCTTTCTTTCTTTCCTTCTTTCTTTCTTTCTTTCTCTTTCTTTCTTATTTTTTGCAGAGACAGACTTTCATCATGTTAGCTAAGCTGATCTCGAACTCCTAACCTCAAGCCATCCACCCGCCTCGGCCTCCCAAAGTCCTGGGATTACAGGCGTGAGCCGCTGCGCCTGGCCTGAGTCCTGATTTTGCATCTTCCTCCCTGGGTAGCTTTGGACAGGCTTTTGGGTCTGTTTTCGCATCTGAGGTGGGCGTAGGTGAGACCCTGCAGTCTCTGAGGCCCTGCCAGCGCTGACCATGGAGGAGCAAATAATGATAAACCAAGGAAGAGCATGGTCCGCATGGGACACACCTGGGTTTCGAGCTGGCTGGCCCTGCCCCATCCACCATGTGTGACCTTAGGCAAGCTGCTTAGCACTTTGGAGTCTCAGTTCCTTCATCAGTAAAATGGACCATTACCTACCTCCAAAGGAGGTTGTGAGGATTAAATGTGATAATTTATATGTAGATACAGGCTCTAACAGAAGGGATAGTTTTTCTTAATTTTGGGCTACATCATAGTTTTTCTTAAATTTGGGCTAAATCGTAGGATAAACACAAGACACAGCTCTTTAGAGGACTAGTTTTATTTGATGAATGGGATACAAAGTAGTTTTAAAAATCGGGTTGAGGCCGGGCATGGTGGCTCATGCCCGTAATCCCAACACTTTGGGAGGCCAAGGCGGGCAGATCACAAGGTCAGGAGATTGAGACCATCCTGGCTAACATGGTGAAACCCCATCTCTACTTAAAAAAAAAAAAAATAGCTGGGTGTAGTGGCATGCATGCTCGGGAGGCTGAGGCAGGAGAATCACTTGAACCCAGGAGGTGGAGGTTGCAGTGAGCTGACATCGCACCGCTGCACTCCAGACTGAGCGACAGAGCAAGACTCTGTCTCCAAAATAAATAAAAAAAAATTGGGTTGAATGCATACATAGAATGCATGTGTGTGTGTGTGTGTGTGTGTGTGTGTGTGTAATTTCAAGCAAAATGTGTAGTTGGGGCGGCCAGCTATAGGTGACAGTCACAGCTCCCACCATTACTAGGTCTGTGGGGTGAGGGGATGGGAGAGGAAGGCTGGGCAGGCCCTTCTCCCTGCTGGGGAGGAGCCTTGTTGCTTGAGGACTCAATTCAGTGAGGATTCAGTGTTGCAGTTTGGTGCCATTCAGAAGAGCCCCAGCGCCCTGGCACACCAGCTGGCAGGTACATGAGGAGTCCAGGACAAGCTGGGACATCGGGCAATCATCAAGGCTCTTAGCACTTGTCAGGAAAGCTCTCTGTGCCGTGTTCTTTTTGGTCACCTTGCTCACCGTCTCCCACCCCCTTTCCTGTTCGCAGTGCCGCCCTGCTGAGTTGGAGCCACAGAGAATTTAGGAAGGTGGTAAAGGCTAATTTTCAAAAAGTTAAAAAACGTGACTCTCAAACAGATGTCAAATGAACACATGTCAAAGCTGTTATCCAGTCGTTAGTAGATGGGGAAACCGGTAGAAACGTGAAGAATAGTTTGAAGGGGAACCTGAATGAATATGTAATTGGTCAGTCAAAGGAATGCTGAGATTAATTCGACAAGGCAAGTTAATGTCCTATAAGGCAAGAAACTAGAATCTCCAGGATTCCCTTTACCACCAGACAGAAAACATTTGCATTACTACTGGACAGGAATTATTTACTCGCTATGAATTTCCTTTTCTTTTTTTTTGAGACAGAGTCTCGCTCTGTCTCCCAGGCTGGAGTGCAGTGGTGCAACCTGGGCTCACTGCAAGCTCCACCTCCTGGGTTCACACCATTCTCCTGCCTCAGCCTCCCAAGTAGCTGGGACTACAAGGCACCTGCCACCACGCCCGGC